CCCAATTCCTGGGAATCCCACCCCCTTCCCCAAAGTAGTTGGAATAATCCACTTGTTAGCAAATGAAGTCACTGAGCCTATAAAATCTAGCAACAGCGTACATCGCTGCCTCTGGCTCCCTCGCCTTCTGACATGGCCCGCACTCTGTCTGTGGATTATGCATCTCTCAGAATAAATCTACTTTCTTTTTAAATTTTTTTATTTATTTTTAATCTTGGAGGGGGAGGTAATTAGACTTATTTACTTATTTTCTTAATAGAGGGACTGGGAATTGAACCCAGGACCCAGTGCATGCTAGGCATGTGCTCTGCCACTGAGCTCTACCCTCTTCCCAGAATAAATCCACTTGCACTCAACTGTGGCTCGCTCTTGAAATCTTTCCTGCATGAAGCTAAGGACCCACACTTGGTGGGGTACGTCCCAGGGACTCAACTGAGACCTGGGACATGGCCATCCTCTCGCCCCACATTCTTTTGCCTGTATCACTCGCAGCTCCGGCTCCGGCCCTCGGCCTGGCACCAGGAGAGTCACGGGTCCCACCTAGTGCCCACACGAAGGCTCCAGGTCACCATCATGGGGGCTCCCAATCCGTGCCCCACTTCACCTGTGTGGACTTTCTGGGTCAAGACCCTGGGAGCTCCAAATTGTCACCTGGAGAAAGAAGAGGAAATCTCATGTGGTGGGGGAAAGGACACGTTCTCCTGTCCAGGATGAAAGAGGGTGTGTGGATTCATGGAGTTAAGCCAGAACACGGTGCAGTTCATTCATGTTCCACAAACGTTCCCGAGCACCGGCCAGGCCCACAGTGCTGGGTCCACAGCTGCAAACAAGATCGGGCCTGGGGCCCCCAAAGGGCTCTGTGGCCAGTCCAGGAGGTGGACTGAGTGGCAGCGTGCCTTCAGCACAGACCAGTGTGTGCGGAGAGAAGTGTCAGCACAGGGTGCTCTGCGGACAGAACACAAATCAGGTTGAGAGGTGAACAGGAAAGGAATGAAGGAAGGCTTCCTGGAGGAAGTGAGGTCTCAGCTGGGTTGTGAAGATGAGTAAAGTTAGTCAGGCAAAGGGAACATGTACAAGGACCCAGAGGCGTTCCACCACTGAGCTACACCCCAGCCCCCCTGGAATTATACTTTGTGTTCAAGGTTTAAAACAGTGAAACGGTGCAAATGGTGAAATGCACTATTTTTAAAGTGCAAAATTTAATTACTATATAAATATTTTAGTGAATTCGAGTATCTTTAACACTGAGATTTAGTCTTCCAAATGTTTGTTTACTTTAACACTAAAAAAAATGAATCAAATGCTTGCTTATTAAATTGGGAGCAATACAGAGAAGATTAGCATGGCCCATGGTCAAGGAAGACACGCAAATTCATGAAGTGTTCCCATTAAAAACAAGCAAACAGGGGAGGGTATAGCTCAAGTGGTAGAGCACATGCTTAGCACGCATGAGGTCCTGGGTTCAATTCCCAGTACTTCCTCTAAGAATAAATAAGTAAATCTAATGATCTC